AATGTTCAGTTCGACTTAGGGTGCTCATGCCCCATTTTGCCTGAATTGCTCATTGTAATGTTTCCATACAACTTATATCAATGTCTCAGGTCTATTACGTCATCATTCATGTATATTTATTTTTACCTACCTTCTGTCATCGTGCAGAACAGTTAATAGATAATTAAATACACTTCTACTTCATGTTTTATTCATATACATATAATGCATTATTGATTTATTGTAATATAATATTGTAAAGTACAACAACTTGCTCTGTATGTATTTTACTTTTCCTTAATTTCATCTCATAAGTGATTACTACCTGGTGTACAATTGTATCTCTTCTATGCCTCTCTGGGGGCCCTAGGCCTTGATTGGAAATAAACTATTGTCTATACACTTTAAATCGAGTACTGTCCCTTTGTGAGTCCAGCTATATAACATTTGGACGCGCTGCAATACATTTACTGTATTTTAATGAGTTCTCAATCTGTATATTATTTATTTAATGCTTTAAGGGGTAAGTTACAGGGTAGTTCCAACCTTGTACAATGATTTTATTGTCAACTGTCACTAAATATTTTCACTTAAACTGATAAATGTAACAAATATGAAGGAACAATATGGTGATGTCTTTATATGAGCGAAAAAATTCTCGAATGCGACGTAAAACAACACAATCAATCAATTAAGCGTTTCGCAAGTTCTATGGTCGATATAATGACCTTGTCAGCAAAAACATTCTATCATTAATTCGAATGTTGACTGACGTTTTTCATACAAATTGTTGTACCATTACAAGTATTTACACACTGAATTGTCTACGGATTTTTCCCGTTTGTCCGATCATGACAATGAGCACACGGCAGGATTGACCGGTCGACAGAATTGTTTACTCTTTCAACTATACCCTATATAATTAGCGACTAAGAAGTTATGCTTTCAATTTCTTTATAACTATATAAAATACACACAACCTTAATGAATCATAACTGTGGATAATAAAAGATTGATGATAAAGTAACGTTGTCACATTTTTTCCCCATTTTCCACTAAGGTAAATCCACTGAGGTTTTCCACTCTCGGCAAGGTCTAAGAGAGGCACACACAATTTATTTTTTTTTTTGAAAAAATGACATTGTGCTGTTTATATAAGCTGTATCTAGAATGAATTGTCTTCTTCAATTTTTAAATATTGTAACATTGAAAAACAAGCATATTTAAACAAACTTTCATTTGGTAATTTTTTCGAGGATATGTGTATGTAGCTATAGTTTGTAAAAGCAGAAAAAGGAAAGAATTCACATATCCTATCCTTCATTAACCAATATTTAAAAAACTTAGTTATTGTAGTTACGGATACCAACAAAGTATATTTCAGGAAAATTTTTAAAACTCATAAAATGCTGATTCCACATATTCAGACTTTCCCCAAATATTGCCTGGCTTATGTTCTGTTTCATAAATAAGTACTTTTTCAGTATGGCTGCATATGTACAGTATGAAAGCATGTAGTTCGCAAAATAAAAATAAATGAAAAAATAAAAAAAAGAAAGTTAATATAAAGATAATACAATTTATTACATTTTCAAAGGTGAAATACTGTGATTTATTTATTGGATAAAAGTTATATTCTCTCACAGTGTGAAAGGATACCAAAGTGATACTCTCTCACAGTGTGAAAGGATATCAAAGTAAGTAAAAAATAATTTCTGGCCTATACTAAGATAGACATAGTAACTAAACCATCTTGAGACTAAAACTGCCAACTTCTCCCCAGAAATGTTGCTAAAATCCATGTTACACTGTTTTCAATCTCCCAACTGTTAAGCAATGACGTCCCAACTGCTCAACTACGAAGTCACAGCCTGTGACACTGTGTTAAGAAAAGACAGAGGCAAAGGAAAAGTCAAAGAAAATGTAATAAACAGAAAATTCAATGTTTTGTAGTTGGATATGGAATTAATTTCATACATGAGACAGGATTTTTTAATATTTTCACTCGTGCTTTGCACTCGTGAAAAAATCAGAAAAATCCGCCCCACTCGTGAAATAAATTCCATATCCGAATACTAACCATTGAATATCCTCTGTGTATAATTGTCGCCCGCGTGGCGCAGTGGTTAGAGCGTCTGCTTTAGAGTCGCGGAGTAAGGAGTTAATCCTTACGTCGCGGGTTCGAATCCCACTGTAGGACGTGGAGACCGGTCCTTCGGATGAGACCGTATAAACCGAAGTCCCGTAGGTGATGGCACGAAAAAGATTCCTCACTGCTCAATGGCCCTGAGTGCCGAGTATAGGTCAAAATTTGCAGCTCTCTACAGGCCGCAAGTGGTGGTGTCTCCATATGAATGAAAAATTCTCGAGAGGGACGTTAAACAAACAAACAAACTCTTTGTATTATTTAGAGAAGAATTGCAACCATAAGTAAAAGCTTGTCTTTGTTATATCATTTTTATCCAAAATTCTATTTCAAAGATTAGAATCTCAGGGAAAAGTTGTGTTTGTAATTTTTATAAATTAAACGTATCATATTACGTCTAAAATAGGATTTTTGTCGAAATCAAATACGACAAACACAGATGCATGACAGCTTGTTAGATCTATGATTATGATATATCTAAAGCTTGATTGTTTAGATGCAATCAAATCTCTAAAATAAGTAACACTGGCAAACTGATCCACTGAATTGAAGAAAAAACATTTCTATGATTTTTAGTCATCGAGCTCTATATAAGAAACAATCAGTTTTACCGAGACAAATACTTTGACAACATTGTTTGAAAATCATGTTTTGGTTGCTGCTTTGTGAGGTAAGATAAATTTATATGCATTTCTCTAATCTACATTACTCGTTAAAGTAATATAGAAATAAATTTGCAGTCTTCAATTATTATTCCAAATTACATTTACTTCTTGATATCCAAGAATTATAGATATCTTCACTGGCGGATTTAGAGGAGCGTTGAGGGCGCACCCCTTAAATTTCCTAATATTAGTTTACGTGTGTATAAATATAAAGGAAAACTAGATACATATAGGTAGGCCTTGTTCAGATTGATTGTATGTTGTTTTACGTCCCGTTCGAGAATTTTTCACTCATATAGAGACGTCACCATATACCGGAAAAGGGCTTCAAATTTAGACCTTTACTCGGCACTCAGGGCCATATAGCAGTGAGGGTTCTTTATCGTGCCAACGCCTACCGTGGTACGGGGCCTCGGTTTCTAAGGTCTAATCCAAAAGACCCGCAACTTTCACTTCAAAGTGCCGAGCGCTTGACGAAGGAACCGTTGCTACATATTTTTATCGACTTAGGTCAGTCGCTGCCATGATTCGAACACACGACCATCCGATCACGGAGCAAGCACTCTATAGACTGAGCTACCATGAAGGTAGACTTGTTAAGAAAAATAATTTCAAAAACAGCACACGTTTTGCAATATGTGATTTGAGAACTTATCTTCTGCAGCAAGTTGCAAACATGTATAATTAAAATAAAAGTAATATTTAAAGTATAAAATCGACAAAAGAAATGCTCATTATGTTGTAAACATTTTTGTAACAGCTTCACAAAGTATTACGGAATTCAAAGATTCTGGAAATTATTTACGTGGCTGTATTTTTTCTTGCCTTAATCATTTGCACATGAAAGCCATTTTAAGAAATCATGTTTTTTAGCTTATATTTCCAAAAGACATTTGCAAACTGATTATTAGGAAAATGGGAATTCAAACCTAACAGTACTGTAAATACTTCCAAAGAGAAAAATTGATCATTTTCTTTAAAAAAATTCGCCACGAAATATAGTTCCCCATTTAGTGCTTTTTGTATGGGATTTCATCGTGGGTTTCTTAATTAAATGTATATTTTTATTGGCACTGTAGGATCTAAATTTATTGTAAGAACTAAAATATGATGGATTTTGAAAAGGAGGTCTAAACAAAATCTGCTTAAAAGCTCAGGATCAACCACCTACGTGCAACCTATTGTCTTTGTTTACAAAATAAGTAAATCAAACCAGCAATATATTTAAAAAAAAAAAAAGGCTATTACCAGAAAAATTAAAGTTTCGAATTTTTGAAATTAATTCAAAGCAATAATAATATATGATGAACTTTATTTTGTGGCAGATTTCTTTTTAAAGAAAATTACATTACTGGTAAATGGGAATTTAACTAGATTGAATTCTGCCATCATATTCTGACAAATATACAAATCTAATTTGAAAATCCAGAGAAAAATATCCCCATTTTAGCTTTGATTTTCAAATAGGCCATATTTGTAGATACTAAAAAATATTCATGACAAAACATTCATGAGTACACAGAATAAGGAAATGATACTGGCAGACACGCCGTTCCTTTGAGTCTATAAAGGACAAAGACTCAAAGAGTTCATTTGGTGTCCCTCGGTTAATCCTGAGGGATATTAAACATATGACATATGTGCAGTCTTCCGTTGAAGATAACAAACAGTGACCAATCTCAGAAATCCAGTTAACAAAACAAGGCGTGACCAGGGCAGAAAGACGGACCCCTGGAATCACCGGAGGTATCCCAATATTTATAACTGGATTTCTTCATTTTCATTTAAAACGGTGTTTTAAACACATATTTTTACTGTGTTTACATGAAATTCATCTTGCCTTATTTGACCAAGCCAGAGTTATTATAAAATATGCATTAAAGGAATTTATTTCTCAAATTTAAGAAACCCGTAGGAACCTCCCATTTTCTACATCCTTACCTTAAGACCTCAAATCCAATGAAAAAAGTTACTTTTTTTAGTGGCAATCAGTAAAAGGAAATTTCTAGTTATTCTGATTTTTTTCCCTTGGGTATAAATAACAAATTTAATTGGGTATTTGAGTTAATTAGTGTATTTTCCTTTAAAACGACTAGAAAGTACGTCTTTCTGTGGATGTTCGCTTTCATATCATACAATTTTTTTGTGTTCAGGTTTTCTTCATGTTACAAGCTCGAGTTAGCAGTCTTTCCTCTAAAGAGTATCTGACCGATGTTCCGCAGCTAACATCGAAGGATAGCTGCAATCCGAATCCTTATATTCAACCAAAAATGGTAAGCATTCTTTTAAAATGTCACTTTTCTTCTAGACATAACTAAACTTATCTTAAAACTATAATATATGTAATGCTAAGTGTGAACAATGTTAAAGAAAATAAATAACGATATGAGATATTTACATTATTTAGAAATTTCATAAGTGTAAAAAGCTGAAAACAATTGGAATACCATCCTAGGAACATACATGTACATATCAGAGAAAGTAATATAAAATGATATACTGTATACAATCACAGTTCTGTTTAAGAAATTATAGATGTTTTTAAAAATTTGCCCTGTTTTCGCCTACCTGTGAGTAGGGCGACAGGGGCGAAAATAAAACGGGGGGGGGGGGGGGGGGGGTCCCTGTACATGTATACAGTAACATGTTTTAAAAAGTACTGTATAGTAGTTTTTTGTTGCTTTTTATTCCCCTGCATCGAAGATTCGGGGTTATGTAGTTTTTGCCCTGTCCGTCCGTCTGTCTGGTTGCCTGTCTGTCTGTTTGTCCGCAAAAGCTTAAACATTGCTCATAACTTTCATATTTCACAAGTATATTCGTTGTGACTAGACATTTCTTTGGGTACCATCATATTATCATATTTAACCTTGGAATTTGACCGAGTTTTACAAAATTTTACCGAACTTTAATCTTGGCCATAACTTTTAAAGAGTTGGTTCTAGGGCTTTCATACTTCACAAGTTTAATCAATGAGACAAAATCGTCCTTAAGATACCAACAACTTTGACTTTGACCTAGGAATTTGACCTACTTTTGAAAAACTTTAACCTTGACCATAACTTTTCAATGATTGCTGCTAGGGCTTTCATATTTCGCAGGTATATTTCTCGGGCCTTACTTTGGATATCAACATATCAATTGACCTTGGAGTTTGACCCAGTTTTACAAAATTTTGCCCAACTTTAACCTTGGCCATAATTTTTGAACAGTTGGTGCTAGGGCTTTCATACTTCACATGAGTAATCCTTGTGACATGACCTTTCTTTGGATAGCAACAAGTTGGACCCTTTGACCTTGACCTAGGAGTTTGACCTACTTTTGAAAAAATAAACCTTGGCCATAACATTTGAACAGTTTGTGCCAGGGATTTCATTCTTAACAAGTGTTATCCTTGTGACAAGACCTTCCTTCAGATACCAACAACTTTGACCATTTGACCTTGACCTTGGAGTTTGACGTACTTTTGGAAAACTTAAACCTTGGCCATGATTTTTGAACTGTTCGTGCTAGGGCTTTCATACTTCACATGTGTAATCCTTGTGACAAGACCTTTCTTTGGATAGCAACAAGTTTGACCCTTTGACATTGATCTAGGAGTTGGATCTACTTTTGAAAGAAATAAGCCTTGGCCATAACTTTTAAACAGTTGGTGCTAGTGATTTCATTCTTCACAAGTGTTATCCTTTTGACCTCCCTTCAGATACCAATAATTATAACCCTTTGATCTTGGAGTTTGAAATACTTTTGACAAACTTTATCCTTGGCCATATCTTTTGAACGATTGGTGCTAAGGCTTTCATATCTCACATGTGTATTTCTTGTGAGAAGGCCTTTCCTTGGGCACCGTTAATTTTGACCATTTGACATTGACCTTGATGTTAGACTTACTTTTGAATTTTTTTTTTAACCTTTTCCATATCTTTTCATTGGTTGCTGCTAGGAATTACATGGAAGCAACATATTTGATTTGCATTTGAGAAAGTTTAACCTTCACTATAAGTTGACATACGTGGGCATCAGTGTTTCACAAACACATTGCTAATTTTTTTCTTGCATGGGAAAACCTGAAATATTAAACGTTTAACGTTATCATTCAACTCAAAATGAGAAAATATCTATATAGGTCGTTTGGTTGTTATCTTGTAAATAAATTTATGACATTTCGATTTTAAATAATATAAATCCAAGGCTAATCAAGCAGCGTAAAACAAAACCACACAAACACACAAAAAAACCATTTCCGAGACTGCTAACACCTAGTTCACCACATGCCGTGTTGAAACATTTTTAGGAAAAAAAGGTTTTAGTTTCTTGACGTTTTCTGGGAATAGAGATGTTTCTTTGTCGTGTTCATGGAATGGCAAATTGATTTTCAATTTCATCAAATTTGAATTTCAGTCTGAAAAAACCTCCATAAGCAAAAATGAGCATCCACCTTATGCTCCTTATTTGAAATTTGAAGAAGGCGGAATCCATGATCCTCATGTGCATGTCAAGAACGTAAGACTGTTACAAGAAAAGTACTTCTCTTCCATGTTTTTTCCCCTCTTGTGTGGGAAACCATAAACAGTCAACGTTTTCCTTTCTAATTTCACTAAAATTGAAAAGAAAAAAATGTCTGTCGTTTGTTTGTCCTCTTCTGAAAATGACATTTCATTCCATTTTCTTAAGTCACCTATCACACGGCTTTCTCATATCAATCTCTTCTCGTCCGCCATTATATGTCATTTGAGTGTCCTTCATGATAGTTTGAACATGTATGAGTTTTCTTTCGAAATAGTCAATCGAATCCGAATTCACTTAGATGTATAAGAAAAAAAGACACCATTCTGTAGTAAAATTGTCTTGTTGTCAAGTGGAAATTCAATTATTTTTCTATTAACAGGCATCATATTATTAACTGCATATAAATAATAAAATTGCATGGCTACTGAAGCAACGTTGAAAAAAGCAAACACAGAGAAAATATATTAATAAAAAGGGAAAAATAAAAAAAATTAATTCCGAGACTGCTATTATCTAGTTAACTGTATGTTGCGGTGAAACATATATTTAAAAGGGGTGGGGGTGTTTAGTTTGTCGATGTTTTCTTGTAATAAAGATATTTCTTTGTCGTGACCATCGAATAGCAAATTGAGTTTCAATTTTCATCAAATTTGAATTTCAGTCTGAAAAAACCTCCATAAGCAACGATGATCATCCATCTAATGGTCATTCCATTTTCATTCCATTTTCTTAAGTCAACTATCACACGGCTGTCTCATATCAATCTCTTCTCGTCCGCCATTATATGTCATTTGAGTGTCCTTCATGATAGTTTGAACATGTATGAGTTTTCTTTCGAAATAGTCAATCAAATCAGAATTCACTTAGATGTATAAGAAAAAAAGACACTATTCTGTAGTAAGATTGTCTTGTTGTCAAGTGGAAATTCAATTATTTTTCTATTAACAGGCATCATATTATTAACTGCATATAAATAATAAAATTATATGGCTACTAAAACAACGTTGAAAAAAACCAAACACAGAGAAAATATATTAATAAAAAGGGAAAAAAAATAATTCCGAGACTGCTCCTATTTAGTTTACTGTATGTTGCGGTGAAACATATATTTAAAGGGGGTGGGGGTGTTTAGTTTGTCGATGTTTTCTCGTAATAAAGATATTTCCTTGTCGTGCTCATCGAATAGCAAATTGATTTTCAATTTTCATTAAATTTGAATTTCAGTCTGAAAAAACCTCCATAAGCAAAAATGAGCATCCATCTAATGGTCCTTATTTGAAATTTGAAGATGGCGGAATCCATGATCCTCATGTGCATGTCAAGAACGTAAGACTGTTACAAGAAAAGTACTTCTCTTCCATGTTTTTTTTCCCTCTTGTGTGGGAAAACCTTAAATGGTAAACGTTTTCCTTTCTAATTTCACTAAAATTGAAAAGAAAGAAAAATGTCGTTTGATTGTCCTCTTCTGAAAATGACATTTCATTCTATTTTCTTAAGTCAACTATCACACGGCTGTCTCATATCAATCTCTTCTCGTCCGCCATTATATGTCATTTGAGTGTCCTTCGTGATAGTTTGAACATGTATGAGTTTTCTTTCGAAATAGTCAATCAAATCAGAATTCACTTAGATGTATAAGAAAAAAAGACACCATTCTGTAGTAAGATTGTCTTGTTGTCAAGTGGAAATTCAATTATTTTTCTATTTACAGGCAACATACGAGGGTTGTCCAAAAAGTTCGTGGACAAATGCTTAATTTTCTTTATTAAGTCCGCAATGGCAAACATGTACGATAATATCTTAATATAGACCATGATTGAGTAAATGTACAAAAAATTAAAACAATACACACTATTTACTGAACATTATAGGTGTAAATACTTTGTATATGCAAGTCGCACGGGCCAGTCTGACGTAACGCTTTTTTAAAGATAACGTCAGAAATATGAATTTTGAATTTTTATCGCATGTTCATAGACGCACGCTATTTTTCTTTATTATGCCACATTGCCAAATGTGTGAAATAATATTCATGTATAGATTATAATTAATTTAAATTTTAAAATTCAAAACAATACACATTATTTACGAGCGTTATTAATATTAACACTTCGTAAACACAGGATGCACAGCCCAGCCCGGCGGCGCTATATTTATAACAACGTCATGAATAGGAATATATCCTATTTTCATCAAATAACAGTAGTTTTCCACTTCTTGTAGTGTCTCTGAAATTTTACACACCGTTGAAAAATCGTATACACCAATTACAAATCACTAGACTAAATATTTTCCAATAAATTTAAGTTGTTTGAATAAATATTTTGTTTTTGACGACGTTTCAACCATATTAACCATAACTGTATGATTGGACGCTGTCCCGTTCGGATGACCGACGTCGCTTTTTCTGTCAATTTTTGAAACATACTTCTTGCGGTTTTCACTTAATATTTTCATTGTCTATTTAGTAAGCGATACTAAAGGTATCAGAAAATAGCGATAACCGCTTTATTTGTGATATATTAAATTTTTATTCAGCTTTGACTCGTTTTAAAATGAAAATAATCATTTCAATCAGATCACTTTATTTAAAAGTTCATGGCATTTTAACCCTGGTCAGTGCGCACTATCGGCGACCTTTAATGGCCGAGATTTTTATAAAAATATTAAGTTCAAACAATAAAAACCAAACTATTCCGACTTGGATTTTCATGACTAATATTTTGGTATACAATAAGCATATCTTGAACCATTCATTTTGACAAAAACGCCATTGTCCACGAACTTTTTGGACAACCCTCGTATTATTAACTGCAAATAAATAATAAAATTGCATGGCTACTCAAGCAACGTTGAAAAAAGCAAACACAGAGAAAATAAATTAATAAAAAGGGAAAAATGAAAAAAAAAAATAATTCCGAGACTGCTACTATCGATTTCACTGTATGTTGCGTTGGAACATATATTTAAAGGGGAAGGGGGTGTTTTAGTTTGTCGATTTTTCTGTGAATAGAGATTTTCCTTTGTTGTTTTCATAGAATGACAAATTGATTTTCAATTTTCATCAAATTTGAATTTCAGTCTGAAAAAACCTCCATAAGCAACGATGAGCATCCATCTAATGGTCCTTATTTGAAATTTAAAGATTGCGGAATCCATGATCCTCATGTGCATGTAAAAAATGTAAGACTGTTACAAGAAAAGTACTTCTTTCATGTTTTTTCTTGCATGGGAAAACAATAAATATTAAATGTTTAGCTTTATCATTCTATCAAAATGAAAAAGAAACAATGTAGGTCGTTTGATTGTTTTCTTGTAAATACATGTATGACGTTTCAATTGAAATGCAACATATTATTTTTTGCATCAAAATAATAACATTTCATGGCTAATAAAGCAACGCAAAAAAGTCACACAGAAAGAAAAAAAAAAACAAAAAATTCAAAGATTGCTAACATCTAGTTCAACATATGCCGTGTTGAAACATTTTTGGGAAAATGGGTTTTAGTTTGTCGGTGTTTTCTGGGAATAGAGCTTGTCCTTTGTCGTTTTCATGGAATGGCATATTGATTTTCAATTTTCATCAAATTTGAATTTCAGTCTGAAAAAACCTCCATAAGCAACGGTGATCATCCATCTAATGGTCCTTATTTGAAATTTGAAGATGGCGGAATCCATGATCCTCATGTGCATGTAAAAAATGTTACAAGAAAAGTACTTCTTTCATGTTTTTTTCTTGCATGGGAAAACAATAAATATTAAATGTTTAGCTTTATCATTCTATCAAAATGAAAAAAAAAAAACTATGTAGGTCGTTTGATTGTTTTCTTGTAAATACATGTATGACGTTTTAATTTAAATGCGTCATATGATTTTCTGCATGAAAATAATAAAATTCCAAGGATAATAAAGCAGCGGAAAAAATCACACACAGACCAAAAAAAAATTTCAAAGACTGCTAACACCTAATGTACCATATGCCGTGTTGAAACATTTTTTGAGAAAATGGGATTAAGTTTGTCGATATTTTCTGGGAATAGAGATTGTCCTTTGTCGTTTTCATGGAATGGCAAATTGATTTTCAATTTTCATTAAATTTGAATTTCAGTCTGAAAAAACCTCCATAAGCAACGATGAGCATCCATCTAATGGTCCTTATTTGGAATTTGAAGATGGCGGAATCCATTATCCTCATGTGCATGTAAAGAATGTAAGAATGTTACAAGAAAAATACTTTTTTCATGTTTTTTTTATTTGCATGGGAAATCCTGAAATGTTAAATGTTTACCCTTTTCGTTCTACTCAAAATAAAAAAAAAGAAACTATATACATATAGATCGTTTGATTGATTTCTTGTAAATATGACATTTCAGTATGAACTCATCATATAATTAACTGCATATAAATAATAAAATTTTGAGGCCAAATAAGCAGCGTAAAAACAAATCACACAGAGAGCCCCCCACCCCCACCCCCCGGAAAAAAACCCAATTATTTCCAAGGCTGCTACCACCTACCACCTAGTTCATCAAAAGCCTTTTTGGATAATTTTTCTGGAAATTTTTTTTTTTTTTTTTTTTTTTTTTTTTTGATGTTTTTCTTGAATTGGAAAACTTGAAGCATTCAACATTTACCCTTATTGTTGTAGTCAAATTCAAAAAATAAATCAAAATAAAAAAGCCATGTTCGTCGTTCGATTTTTTAATGTGAAAATGACATTGACTTTCAATTCCACTTATTCTAGTGCTCTAAGTCAACGGCTGTCTCACAGCAATCTGTTCTCGTCCGTTTTTATACGTCCTGCGAGCGTCCTTTTTGATATTTTGAACATGTGTAGTTTTTCCGTAGTGACCTATTCAAACAATTCTAGTGCATCAGAAGAAAATGTCAGTAGAGAGATTGCCTTCTTCTCTTCTTTTCTTGCCTTCTTTTACATAATTGAATTAAAAAGAAAAATGTATCAAATATTATAAATGAAAATGAAGATGTTTCTTTGTAATGTGTATGAAATTGAAAATTGATCTTTATTTTTCATTGATGGTCCAATTTAAATTAAAATTTCAGTCTGACAAAACCTCCAGAAGCAGAAATGATCACCAAGCTAACGTTCCTTATTTGAAATTTGAAGACGGCGGAATCCATGATCCTCATGTGCATGTAATGATGGTAAGATTGTTACAAGAAAAGTTATTCTTTTTCTGTGCGTTGGAAAACCTGAAACACTCAACGTTTATTTCATAATTCTAGTAAAACAAAGCATACGGGTCGTTTAATTTTCTTCCTGTGAAATAAAATTTTAATTTCATACCTTTTTCTAACATCACTTATATTGAAAAGCTGACTCATAGCAATCAATTGTCGTCCCCGTGGGTCTCTCACAGAATTTTAGATGATTTAGTTCTTTTTCTTAAATTGTCAGTACTTTAAAAAAAAAAAAAAAAAATTAAATTAAACAAACGTATTTTATTGAAGTGGCTTTGCTACTAATTATGATGCAAGCCCGTGCATGATATCGCGTAAAGATTTTATTAAGGTCTTCCGTCACAACGGAAGACCTTCTACTGATTCTGATGGTTAAGATTATTATTAAGGTCTTCTGTTTCCAACGGAGGACCTTCTTCTGATTGTGATGATTAAGATTATTCTTATTATTCTTTTTTTTTTCCTAGACGCCAACTTTGACGCTTCATATCTTCCTCATTTTTAAACAGATTTTGTTCAAATTTTCAGAGCTTTTAGACTTTACAAAACACTGTCAGAATACTGTAATACAATTCGGAAATTACCTTCTGTTCACGAGTTATTCCCCTTTGATTGAATTTTGCATGCCTCCGATTTCCAGACAAAGGCTCAGAAATGGTTATAATTGGAGCACAAAACCCTTTGAAATTGAAAAGAGGAAGCATTGAAGTTGTGCACATCGGTTTTTGTTTTTTTGATTTTTGCATTAAAAATGGCGCTAGAGAGGGGTCAAAAGTTAGAACGCGGAAAACAGCAAAACATTTGACATATTTTCCTTTATATCTTGAAAACTAGAAATATTTTGTTAAGACATGTAGAACAAAAGTTGTGCATAATTGCAAGGGCTTTCATATTATACTATTTCAAAGGGGCTGGCCCCTATGATTAGGGATCTTGGGCCCTTAAAAGTTTTTGCTTTATAACTCAAAAACGGTAAATATTTCGATCTGGATCTTGGGAACAAAATTGTTCTTTTACACCTTTTTGATCTAATGAAAATGTTGTTTTGTTCGAGTATACCATGGGTATTGCGTAATACGTATTAGAAAGCAGGCCAGGTAAACAGGTAACGTTTTTCATTCGGCAAGGAAATCAGACCTCTTCATGTGTATAACTTAAACAGACTTGCTATCAATAATAATACCCTGCGGTATTTAATGTTAATTTTCTTTTTAATAAGGTTTAAAACGTGGTTTATGGTTCACTATTAAATTATTTATTACAACTAGTCTTTCTTTTCTTCTTTTTTAAATTAGGTTAATAGTGTTCAAAAGCGGAGAATATTAAATCTATCTTTCTACGTTTATTTTTACAACAAACTTTGTAAGTGATTTTAAACTGTATGCATTGAATAATTCACGATCATTAGCTGTATGCATATTACGGTCTCCATGTTCAGCTCGATGTTTAGTTATATAACCCAACGCGCGAATCCCACGCTGTTGATCGAGGTCACCAGTGTACTAGCCATCTGTGGCCATAAACAAAGCTAGTATTTGTGATCGCGTATAATGTCAATTTTGTACAAAGAGCTATTAATTAATGGAAAGTTATGTTTTTAATTATATCGAATCAGTAAGATTACTTTACCGATCTTTTATAATCTTAATTCCAAACACTGGTGCATAAAAATCATTTTGAATTTTAATCGCTGTTTTTGTCTGTTCACGCAACAATACATTTAAAAAAAGTATTGCTCTATCCCGTGTTGTTGTATTTTAATTCATCTGCAATTGTAATTGAATGGGGGCTTCGGTAAATAATTGTAATTATTACGCATGCTACGCACATATTATTTTTACCATCACTCTTGTGAATGTCCATTTATTATTTATAGAATTAAATAAACATTAACATAAATAAAAATTCCTTCAAATATACATGTACTATAATTCAAGTCTTTGTAAAATAGCAAATAGTTTTATCCATCTCTGCCGCTTTGTGTCTTTAAGTGTTGTAGTCCAGTCCTCGTTTACATACACGTGGCCACAGAGAGCCGCGGGCACCTCGATGTTGAAATACATTGTTGCTCTACACCGCACAAACAACTAACGTGTACATGCAGTGTAGTAACTGGCAAAGATTGTTTGAAAAATATAAACTCGCATGTGTTCGCTACGAAGCATTCATTTTAAAATTTTATTTACATGTAGATACCTTATAAGAACAAAATAAAGTAAATGTATAACACCTAGAACAATGTTTAAAAATCAAAATACAAATATCGTGTGCTCGGAAGGGTAGATGGCTTGAAAGGGTGTGTCTGTGAATGCTTAGATCTAGCAACACACTTCGCAAAGTTAAGCATACTTTAAAAGTGGGGGCAATCCCCAATCCTCGCACCCTTCCTTTTTGAATCTAAAAATATCATACTGAGAGTTGTATATAGAGCGGGAATGTTATTTTATTAGTCCTTAAAGGCACAACTTTAGAAATGACTTATAAATTTTTTTTAGATAAGATTGTTTCGCGATACAGCTGTGATAAATCTTAGGAACTTCTAAAGTTATAACTTAGGCATATCTTAAGATAACTTAGGAAACGTTTTTGAAACAGGCATGTCAAGCATTCAGTCAGATCTATTACGACGTCCATATTACCATATAAGAGAATGAAATTTTGTTTTGTATATAAAGTGGTTATTACAAATATGCCTGTTACAAAAATGTATGTTGCAATCTTCAAAAGCTATCGAATTATTTGCATACGTGTACTCGTACATATGAACATTGATCAACACTGATCAAGTGTATACCGGGACCCGGGATAGTCTTATTATAGCTCTTGCTTTGTCAAATCATTACTTTCATACCCCTTGCATTTAAGAAAAACAATGTTATAAAAAAAAATAATAATCTGACATATAACAAGTATACATGTAGCGTGTGCAATTTATTTGGCTAGGGGCATGTACACACGTGGTTCGAAACTGTAGGGGGCTACAAATGCGGCCATAACTAGTATATTTTTGAGGTGTTATAAAAAACAAATAATACTCACAAAAGCTTATAAAATTGCCGTTCTATCGATACCTTATATGCCATGTTTCATCCACCAACAACGCCACGACATCGATGAGAAATACGTTTCTACACGGGCATTTTCTTCGAAAAGGATAGGAAGTTAATGAATTAAAATAATTAATTCTTTTAGTTAACGCATTATGTTTACCTATTTATTTGTTGTATGCAATAAGTATAGACCTTACTAATAATGACTGTTTGGTTGTCACACCTGTGCATGTGTCGTGCGAGGTACAGCGGTAAGGTAAATTACCGAGAGTCGCGATGTGCGGGGTGATTCGGAATACCCTAAATGACTGTGGTCCATTGAATTTCTAGTAGTAAATCAACCTGTCAAATTTAACATGGGCCCACATAAAACGACTAAATTCGTTTCATGAATGAACTGGTTCTTAACAAATATATGTACAGTATACAATATCTTTTCTTTAGATCTGTTTGTTTATTATTTTCAACCACAATCTGCAGTACATGTATAGTTACACGAAATCCATGCACAACGGCGCTACACCTGTCAATCAAAATCACTCGATATTGTAAACTCAGTCTGGTGTTACGGCAGTATTTCCGAAGTGATTCAAAATATTCTATCGGCTAATTCTAATTTTTCGCGTTGAATAATAATATTTTGGAACAAAGTTGGAATTAAGGCTGGAGCTGCATGCTGTGAATTTATCACACCTGCAGTCTGCAGTCTTCCCTTCTTACATGTATATGAAGCATCTGTTGAGTAATGAATCAGAGAGCATAATATGCGGAACAAGTTTGATTGAGATTTTTACTTTTCCTTTAAGATAAAATGATTAATAACATAATATATGCATCTAATAGATACATATAAATGTACATGTATAGATTTTTAAAAACAAGAATCTGTAATTGAAAATGTGAAAGTGAAGAGTTTAGGTAATAGTTCTTAACCAAAATTTAATGACAGTTCATTCCTTCCTAGTCTCTATATAACTTTTAATTACGGCCGTGCCCTCTCCCCTTCAAAAGATGTCTAATACATGCTTTTAAATTCTGTTTATGTATCAAGAAATTTCCACAGGTATTTGTGGACAGGATCCCCCCCCCCCCCCTCAAATTCAACCCCAATGTTTGTTGGACATTTTTTCCCACAAATT